GAAAAGTTTCATAAAATTTGTGATCTTCAATCTCGTACTATAGTCGTTGCTAAAGTGAGAGGCAGTAATGAAATTCTTGGAGGATATAATCCGATCACATGGAAATCTGCTAATAGATATAGTAATACTAAAGATAGTTTTATATTTTCTTTTAATAATAACAGAAGTGAAAATTATATTTTAAGTCGTATAGTTGATAATCGACATGCTGTAGATAATAGATCTTATTATGGTCCATCATTTGGTAATGGAGACCTTATTATATGGGGATTAGATATTAATACACTTAGTACTAATTATTGTTATGCATGTAAAAATTCTTATGAAAAACCGATTAGAGAAACTGAGGATAAATTTTACGTTGAAGAATATGAAGTATTTCGACTGATGAATATTTATTCATGAATTTTTTTTAATAATAGATTGCCTTTATTTATTTATTTATTCAAAAATTACTTTTAAATATAACTTTTTTGTAATAAATAATAATCTTTATTAATAACAAATTATTATTTAAGAGAAATACAAATTAATAATTTGTATTATGATCAGATTTTAATTATTCGGCCAAATAAGACAACTACCAATATTTACACATAACGTTAGTATTATTTTTTATAAGTTGAAGATAATAGTATACTAAACAATAAATTATAATTAATTGAAAAATATAAAATTTAGGTGTTATTAAAACGTTAAAGCAAATGATATTGGATGATGAAAATGCGGATTATTTTGAATTTTAATTCAGTTCATAATAACTTTTTGGTTAATATGTCGCAACGACTTGACATTGCTCGTTTATTATTCTAACAATTATCACATAATGTTTCATATAAAGAGTATTTTTTGGACATGATTTTTTATTTTAAAATTAAATCATCAATGATGCGATGATTTTCAATAAAGAGTCTACTATTTTTGAATGAAAAATCCGTATGAGATTAATTATTCAGCATGAAAAAATACTAATTATGTATTTGTTTGCTTTATTCACATTTTTACTTTATATTATATATTGTTTGTGATTATTAAAAGAATCACATTTCATAAAATCTCCTACATTTAAGACAGAATTTTTAAAAGAAATTAATGTATCAGCGATCATAGTATACATCAAAATTATAACAAGTTATCTTCCAATCTATGTAACTGTCATGGATACTCGTTTTTAACATGAAATTATATAAACCTATATATTCTGCATTATGTCTTTGATAATGATTTTAAGTGATCATAAAAACATGTTATGATGTATTGAAGTCGCATCTGTATAATTGACAGTAAATCTAAATATGCAAAATTAACCCAAAACGCCAAAATCGAATATCGTCAGTATAATAGTATAAAAAATCTAATTCTAACATTACTTACATGTTGAGGCACAATCACTGAAGCTTTAAATTCTACGTTATTTGTCATCAATAAATTTAATAATAAAAATGCTTAAAATTAAAAATAAATAAATAAGCAAAAATTTTCCCGAAAAAACTGACAAATTTATTGTTCTATCTAAAAAAATGAGCGGGTAATTTTTTGTAAAAAATAAAAATACAAACACGTCACAGTTTTAAATTCGTGAGCTAAAAAAAAGTAGTAAAGTGGGATGGCCAGACTTTATAATAAAATTATATCTTAATTCTCAATTTCTATTTGGTCTTTTAAATTCGAAAAATAGCTTTTTGTTATTTACTACGATATTTAGAATGAATTCGAATTTTTAATATTGTAAATATTGCCAGCCGGCAGTTTGTAATTTCAGCTCTGAAATTTCTTTTTTGTTAGTAAGAATATCTTAAATCAAACGTGGCTTTTGTTTCGAATCAACAAACTAGTATAGATGGTGCTACGAATAAAATTTTTAATATTTCTCATCAACCGTTACTAGTAATGAGAAAATTCGAAAGAAGAAAAAGTACTTTAAATAAATCAATTTTCTTGCGTGTGACGACTGTAACGTACTTTACATCTCATACATAATTTAACAAAGCGTGATTTGTGTAATTGGCTAAATGATTTTCCGTTTGCCGAATAAAATTTATATAAATACTTCTCAAATTTCCTTTGACCTTACCTTTTGGTAGAAAATATTTCACATCACAAACGGTTTTCTAATAATTTATCCTAAAAATGACTAAATATTATTGGATTATAGCTCAACATTCTGAGAAAGTTCTTGAAGTTGAAAATGCTTCTATTTTTCAAGGTGCTAAAATCATTCAAGCTTCTAAGAAATTCGATCATGACCCCACCGTAAAGTGTTTAATCTAATATATTAATAAAGTGATGTGATTATTGATTATTAACTGGCCTTTTCCCCTTTATGTTTAGGTTGATGCGCAACTCTGGTATTTTAATGGAGCATTTATTACCAACAAAAGAACTGGGTTCGTGTTCGATGTTGCTGGAGGTATTAAAGTAACAAATACGATTTAACTATTTGAAATCAAAATTTTCTAACCTCTAAATCCAATTCTTTGTTATTTTTACTAAACAAGCGAAATATGAAAATCGTGAGTAATCAGTTAGTTCAGTTTCGTAAAATATTATTATTATAATAAATCTTCGATTGACATTTTCAATATTTGTAAAGGTACACGAATTATTCAATTCGTAAGATATGCCGAATCTTGTGCCGCTCAAGAATGGGAATACAACTATGAAGACAAAACTATCAGTTTGAAACATAATCGAAAATTTGTTCTTGATGTTTTGGTAAAATGTTATTGAAATTACTTGAGATATTAGAAAATAGAGATGGTAATAATATTAATTTTAAATTTCATCTATTTTTACAGGATGCAAAAAAAGATAACAATGCCTCAATAGTCCTGTTCGAAAAGCATGGTCGCGAGAATCAACAATTCATTTTGCAAAAGTGGGATGATGATTCAATGGTCATTGAAAACGTAGCAACAAGCATTATTGACAATTTTAAATTTTTACCAAAATTATCACAAAATTTCCTTGAAATTTTAGATGATGATGAATATTATGATGTTAATATTGAAGTTGGTATTAACCCTCATGTAAAAACATATCACGCTCATATGGTTATTTTAAATTACCGTTCTCCTTACCTACGAAGAAAGTTGTCTACTAATAAAAAAAATAATGATGGGACTTTGGCACGTATTGAACTACCCAATATTTTACCAGAAATTTTTGTGATAATTTTAAGGTAAAATCTAATTGAATCAATGTATAATTAATTTATTTTTATCATTATATTTTTAATCTTAAAATATTGTATTTTTTATGTTTTAGATACATTTATAGCGGAAAACTTACTTTAAAAGAAATTGATCCATTAGACATAATTAAATTACTAGTTGCCGCTAATGAACTAAGTCTTCAGGAGTTAGTTACCTATATTCAATCCTTTTTAATTGAGAATAAAGTAAACTGGATGAAACAGAATTTTGTTTTGATATATCAAACAAGCTATGAAAATGACTTTTTCCTGGATCTTCAAAAATTTTGTAATGATTTAATATCAAATGAACCAGATAAAATATTTAATTTGCCAAATTTCGCTTCAATTCCAGAAAAACTTTTGGTTTCAATTATTCAAGATGATAATCTTCAAATGAGCGAAATTCAAGTTTGGGAGCAAATACTTAAATGGGGAATTTCTCAAAATTCAGAAAAACTTCCCTCTAACCTTAAAGACTATTCAAAAGAAGATTTTAATATTTTGAAGAACACCTTAAAACGATGCATCCCATTTATTAGATTTTACAATTTAACTTCGAAAGAATTTGCGCATAAAATACATCCTTATAAAAAGGTTTTACCAAAAGAATTATATGAAAATCTATTATTAAGTCTTTTGGATCCTGATAATAAGAAAGGTGAATCAAAACCTCGTATAACTCGAAATATTGATTCAAAAAATATTGATTCTAATATTATTTCATCTAAACACGTTGAATTAATCTCAAAATGGGTTGATAGATCAGAAATTACTGACAAGTTAACTTCTCCATATGAATTCAAATTATTATTTCGTGGATCCCGTGATGGATTTTATCCTGATAAGTTTCATGAAATTTGTGATTTTCATTCTCGCACTGTAGTCATTGCTAAAGTGAAAGGTAGTAACGAAATTCTTGGAGGATATAATCCGATTGCATGGAAATCTGTTGATAGATATCGATATAGTAATACTAAAGATAGTTTTATATTTTCTTTTAATAACAACAACATAAATGATAATTATATTTTAAGTCGTATAATAGATAATCGCCATGCTGTAGATAATAGATCTTACTATGGTCCATCATTTGGTAATGGAGACCTTATTATATGGGGAACAGATATTAATACGTTTAGCAGTTATTGCTATGTTTGTAAAAATTCTTATGAAAAATCGATTAGAGAAACTGAAGATAGATTTTCCGTTGAAGAATATGAAGTATTTCAATTGATGAAAATTTATTCATAATTTTTTTACGCAAGGAAATAAATAAACTGAATAAACTGTCTTTTATTTATTTATTAATTGTCCGAATGAAGAGAAAAATACTCATTTATGATTTTTAATTTTTTGGTGACATATCCATATATTTCTTTTCCATTTGAAGATTTCTTTGTTCTCATAAAGACCACAAAAATTTCCATTCATTATTTCAGTATATGCTGAGACGCAATCACGGCTATCAATAAAATTCTGATAATAATGAATCAATAAAATATGAAAATTTCCAGCATTATGAATATCTAAAAGTCCTCTTGCAATATATTGTAATTTATATTATCAATTTTCGATTTATAATTTATATAGTTTTTAGATTCAATTAAATAATTTCTCAAATTCCATCTATATGCCTAAAACTAAAAACAAAGAGGCAATGATTCTTTTGAAAAAACTTTGATAATAGAGCATATTTTTTAAAGCTTTATTCTTTTTTTTTTTTTTAAAGAAAAAATATATATATAGTATGTAATCAAAACATCCCGATTTCATTATTATGAATAATAAAAAATAAATTCATAAATACCAGTTTTATGTTTAAAAAAAAAAAAAAAAAATTGAAACCCAATTTTTCGTTATTTAAAAAATTCTTTAGAACGAATTTATTAAATAATAACAGCTTGCAGTACATAATTCTAGCCTTGATATTCTTTTATATTAGGAATGCTCTAACTTTTTTCGTTTTAGGTACAAGCATCGGCCTGGATCTTAACAATTCTCTTTTTAAGGGGTATATACAGCTCAATCATCATAATTCTATCGAAACTTCATTTGCATGCGAATGAAATTAGCTAATCGGATAAGACCCGTTTTTATTCAACATCTGAGTTAATTTAAACGTTGTTTTTTAACTAAAATTGAAGTAGACATACAAAGGATATTCATTAAAATGGCTTTTTTGAAGGGCTTATTTTTTGTGCAATAGTGATCAACACGACGTGTGACTTGTACAATTGGTTAAATGATTTTCCGTTTGCCAATAAAATAATTTTACTCTGTGAAAATTTTGTGATATTCCCTTTATCTTTTAGCAGCAACTTTTCTATTGAATTATCTTAAAAATGACTAATTATTATTGGATTATAGCCCAGCATTCTGGGAAAGTACTTGAAGTTAAAGATGGCTCTTTTTGTAGTCTTGTTGAAATTGTCCAAAATACTAAGAAATCTGAGCTTGACTCCAATGTAAATTGTTGCACAATATTCTAATAAAATAGTGTATTATAGCGTAACTATAATCTATTAATTGATTTATTCCTTTTATCTATGTTTAGGTTGACATGCAACTCTGGTATTTCAATGGTGGATTTATTACGAACAAAAGAACTGGCCTTGTGCTTGACGTCGTCGGAGGTAAGTAATATGATTCAATTATTGAAATCAAGTTTTTCTAATTTCTAAATCGAAAAAAATTTCTTCCTCACTAATCAAGGGAAATTTGAGAAATGTGAGTAATTATGTTTAGAAAATAAAATTTTTGTTTTTTCCAATTCCACATACATTTAACGTATTTCAATTTTCATAAGATACGAATATTGTTCAAGACCAAAAGCATGCTGAACCTTCTCGCGGTCAAGAATGGGTATACAATTATGCAGACAATTCTATCAGTTTGAAATTTAATCGTAATTTTGTTCTTGATGTTGCGGTAAAAATGCAATTTAAATTGCTTTTAATTGATATATATAATATTGGAGATCGTAATAATAATTTTTTTTTAAACTTGTATTTTTTATAGGCGGCGAAGACTGATAATAATACTAACATTCAATTGTGGGAAAAGCATGGTGGCAAGAATCAACAATTCAATTTGCAAAAGTGGGATGATGGTTCAGTAGTTGTTAAAGATGCAGTAACGAACATTATTGACAATTTTAAATTTTTGCCAAAATTATCACAAAATTTCCTTGAAATTTTGGATGATGACGAATATTATGATGTTAATATTGAAGTTGGTAATAACCCTCATGTAAGAATATTTCACGCTCATATGGTTATTTTAAGTTACCGTTCTCCTTACCTACGACGAAAGTTGTCAACTAATAAAAAAAATAATGACGGAACTTTGGCACGTATTGAACTTCCCAATATTTTACCAGAAATTTTTGAGATAATTTTAAGGTAAAAACAAATTGAATTAAGATACATATTTATTAATTTTTTTTTAACAATATATTTTTAATTTCAAAAGCATTGTACTTCTAATTTTTTTTAGATACATTTATGGCGGAAAACTTTCTTTAAAGGAATGTGATACGTCAAATATAATTAAATTACTAGTTGCCGCTAATGAACTAAGTCTCCAGGAGTTAGTTATCTATATTTAATCCTTTTTAATTGAAAACAAAACAAACTGGATGGAACAAAATTCTAATTTGATATATCGAACATGCTTTGAAGATGATTCTTTCTTGGATCTTCAACAATATTGTAATGATTTAATATCTAATGAACCTGATAAGATATTCAAATCACAAGATTTCACTTCAATTCCGGAAAAACTTTTAATTACGGTTATCCAAAATGATAATCTTCAAATGAGCGAAGTGCAAGTTTGGGAACATGTACTTAAATGGGGAGTTGCTCAAAATCGAGAACTTTCCTCTAAGAACCTTAGAGATTATAAAGATTATTCAAAAGATGATTTTAATACTTTGAAGAATACCTTGAAGCAATATATCCCGTTTATTCGATTTTACAATTTAACTTCTGAAGAATTTGCATATAATGTACATCCTTATAAAAAAGTTTTACCAAAAGAATTATATGAAAATTTATTATTAAGTTTTTTGGCTCCTAATAACAAGAAAGGTGAATCAAAACCTCGTATATCTAGAAATATTGATTCAAAAGATTTTGACTCAACAATTATTACATCCCAACATGCCGAAATAATCTCAAAATGGGCAATTGGATTAGAAATTACTGATAAATTAAATTCTCCATATGAATTCAAATTATTATTTCGTGGATCCCGTGATGGATTTTATCCTGAAAAGTTTCATAAAA